CTACAAAGTAGCTGAGTTTGGTCTTCAATACACCGCAGGCAAAGCAAGGTACGGAGGTTTCTGGCTGTAAACACAGTTAAACCAACTTGAAATTGGCGTCTCCATTTATACGGTCGCTCGATTAAAATTCAAACCAGTATGAGAAGTGTTTTTGATAAATGTTTTCTTGAAACCGTATGTGAGAAAAGCACGCACTCTGTGTTCAACAATGGGCAATCAAAGCATAGATTGGTCACATTCAAAAAGTTTGCCAACTCGCTCAATTACATAACGTAGCTCTTGGCTGAAAACAGTATACTAGTGGATAAGCATAAACAGCAACCAGTTTATCAATGACTAACGCTTGAATTAGGCGCATTCAGAAAAAAAAAGTGCCGACTTGATTAAAACTTGTCAAATCGATGACAAAACTGGCTAGTGAATGAGTAGACAATAGGCCTTTCGCCCCAAGAGAAATTGAAAACAATGCTAATGCAAAATTTTGGAGGGACAACAAAGAGTATTATGATATTTTTAAAAAAGGCCTATAGCCGTTTGAATTACGACAAGCTAGCCGCTGAATAAATTCAAATTACTGCGAAAGAAATATAAAACTTTCTAAACTTCTTGGTAGACAATAAAAGCGAAGAAAGTTGAGGAAAACTATTGTTAAAGAATTTGTAGCAAAAAAACCATTTTGACTCCTAACATTTGATTACGCAGTGATGTTGATCACCACTATCAGTTTGACAAAACTAATGAATACGCGAAGACTACAATAGCCTGTTTTGTACCCGCTCGTCACGACTACGGTTAAAAGTGCGAGAAATCGAGAATACAAACTTTTAGGTAGACAAAAATCATCATTCCTTCGAAAAGCTCAGCAAGTTAAGGAAACATTTTGATTAAAATTGCCAATTAAAAAAATCACTTCTTTCACACTGACACATAAAAAGTTCGCATTCAACGAAAATGCCGCGAAATCATAATATTGAGGAGTCATTGCTCATAGCATGGAGTTATTAGTTACTGGGGTCACAAAAATAGTGGAACGGATTTATGTGATCACATGCATCAGGCCCGGCTGGTACAAACTCTTCCCCCAGCTGGTCATTTCATTTTCGTTTGCAACTTCGCTTGATTTAACTCGATCGCGAGACCACCCTTCAAAGGAACTGGGACCCGGTTAGCGAATATTCACATGATGTCACGGCGACCAAATTGGTAGGCGGTATCATACTTGACAAACAAATGAGAATTAGTCTTCAACAATAGGCGTGCAGTTTCTAGCAGCTCATAAATAATTACGACAAAAGTACAGTACGAAGAAAGAAAAAAAGAATAAAAATTTTAAATTAAAATCTATTAAATTGGGTAGACAATATTTGAAATTTTGGCTAACGCCATGGACGTAGTTGCTTTCATAATGATAATTAGCAATTTACAATGGTTACAAACATCTTTGGATAATCACTAACGTAACAACAACCCTTTGTAGGGTTAACAATGCAAGAGAAACAATAATTGCAAACGCGTCTTACTTTATCAATAATTTATCGCAAAAAAAGCAAACAGTGATGTTATTTACTTAACAAAGGTTTAACATCGTAACGTAGCTCATGCGAGAACTCGTACTTATGCTTATACTTATTTTTCGGTCAAAACCGTAATTCCGGTTTTTCTTTTTGGCATCCCGCGGGTTCCCGTGCGTATTTTCAATTTCAAATCTTGTTGCTTTTTAAAAAGTCCCGAATCCTAGCCTTCATAAAAGGCAAATCTAGGATCCCGGAAAACCTATCAATAACCCTTGAAACGCGGTCTTGAAATTCGCGAATAGTTATTCAGCTCGCATTGTTGATTGCCCATACTTCCACTGGTCTCATATAGTTGCATGATTGACATGTGTCATTTGCCATACATTTGACAGCGCACTCTGTATTATCATCTGCCCGACTTGTATCAAAAGTGTGACCAGTCAAGGCAAAATCTACCAAAATAAAGTCGGAGAGAGGCACCTTGTTGTGGTGGTGGACTATCTGGTAATTGTCTACTAATTATTCACTTCGTATTTTAATTTGTTAACAACCCCCAAATTCAATATTTTCCCATTTTCCCAAAATTTTAAACATCTCAACCCCCCCCTCTCCCCTAAATTTTATACATTAGAAACATCCGAAAATCATCCAAAATTCACAAATATTTATTGATTTAAGGACTGTAACTTAATTGAGTCATTTTTGGATTGAATGAAATGTTTATCTTGGTTAGGTATTTAAGAAAAAGGGTGAAAATCAACGAAAAATAATGCTTTTAACCGTACTGCCCCCTTAATTTATCTCAAAGATGGAGAAGAAAGCTAAAATTTATTAGCATTGCTTAAAATCTTTAATTTTATCTCAAAGATGTGGAACAAAATTCCATGTCTTTGAAACAGTTGAGACAGGTGAACCTAGGATTCTGAAAGAGTCTTAAGTGCACTGCACGTCACAAGTTTGCAAGTCATGATCAAGACATGATGATCAAACACGTACCTGAAAAATTTTCAAACAAGTTACCACAGGAATCTAGTGCAGATGAGAGTAGAGACGGTCCTCAAGAATATCAGTATGAATGGAATATAAATCGATAGAAACATGGTGACAGCAATCGCTACAAATACAACAAAACAAGGAACGGTAACGAATTTAAATACAAAAGAGTCTTTTACAATATTTACTGCAAAAAAGTCATAATATATAACTAGTATGTTAACGAAAACAGAAACAATCGAGCTGAAATGAGCTTCTTACCTAACTTGTCTAACCAAGAATTAACCAAATCATTCTCATCTACCAGAGTCCAATCTATCCTTATACACGCTTACACGCGAGTGAAATTAGGCCTGAAATTATTACTATGGACTAGGGGTACTTTCCGGCAAGTGTCAACGAGGCGAATTCGTTTATCTTTTGTGGAATGTGCCTATTTAGATCTTCGCGATATTTTTTTTCATAATTTTCAGAGGTTTAAAATGGATTCCGCTATGGAAAAGGATGGCACCCAACTTCAAAACAACAACTTTGGCACATTCTAGGCTTTCACTTATATTAAACAATAACAACATGGCTTGAAGCTTTGTTTTCCTCACTTTCATCCTCAACGTTGTTACAAAAAAGGTGCGTTAAAAGAAAAAACTGTGTAATTTTCTTATCATGTAGACTACAGATTCATCGATGCTGTAAGTATGTTAAACACAGTCAAGCAGACAGCAGTTTTTATTCCTCATTTTCAGCGAACATAGATTTTCCAGAAATATTCTGTAGAAGTTGCAAAGACATTGCCTCCAGGCTCATCACAGAGCCATACGTTGTTATAAACAACCCAGTGATATTGGTAGGCAACAAACGCCGAATGGTCGTACATTCGTTGTTCTTCGTTTTTGTTGAAGTGTCCCCATTTTCCAACATAATGTCGTGATCCATCGTTTCCCCATCGGTGACACTGTTGAGCTAAATACGAGTTGTCGTCCTGCATTGTAATGAACGAGCCGCATGAAGCGGGCAGGACACTTGACTGACCGCTGAAATACTGGACTACAGCTTCCCCAATGCTGTTATTGACCGTGATGACGTGAAAGGTGCGCCCATTTTCTTTACTACAGTGGAATCTCAGTTGAGTGAACTTCAAGTGCGACCTCAGTTGACGCATGGCACTTGTACTAATGCCCATTAAGTTATTCTGATAGTTGCTGATCTCGCGGTATGAAGTTTCAGCGGTCCAAGCAGGGGAAGACTCGGTTTTCTTTAAGGTGGCAACATTAAGCCAGCCTCCTGAAATCAAGATAATTTTTTTATTTCCAGGTGCGAGAATCTTTGCCGTTTTATTACTTATGATTTAAAGCTAGATATTTGGCAGTGAGAGTCGACGAGTCTAAAGTCAAGCAGAAATATTTTCTATAATTGACAGGAAGCAAAAAGACCAAAGTTACAATTGGCAACTGATTTCCAGTGATTGTGAAATCACTGCCTTTTTCAACGAGTTGACATATAAGACAATAGATATAGAGGATATTACATGGCTGCTTGGGGATACGAATTTTATCTTCGAGTGCTGAAAGTATCTCTCACGAGTGAGCGAAGAGAACGAGGGAGACATACTTTCAGCACTTTTCAGCGACCATGTAATGTTCTGTTTATTTTATAGATACTGATGAAATTCCTACATAAAACACAACTTTTTGAAACTCTTGTAATTCTTGTAATTGGCTAATCATGTTAGTAACCATGGCGACACCGATATCCTTACATGTGAAAGATAAAAATAGTATCTTCACTGCGCGCGATGAAGATATGATTTTTTAGTAAAAGAGAAAATCCTAGTATTTCATCAGTATCTATATAATAAATATTTTTTCTTTACCTCCATCAGTTGTCATATCACAAAGGGCTTTTAAAGGCCTGCCATTTTTCTCAGGGTCGATCCAGTACTCTCCGTCCCCTGTTGAATCACCAGAGTCCCGGATGTGCTTACAGGAATGACCAGGACTTGAAGAGAAATAACCAAGTTTCTCTGAACACAAAAGAAGAAAAAGAATCTATTGAATATGATTTAATCTTTCCTAAACTAAATTTAAAGACGACTAAACAGTGAAACGTGTGACGAGGTTACCGTCTACACCGGAGCACAGAAAAAGAAATGACGGGAGACAATACCCTTTACTTGCGCAAACCGCAAAAAGCTATGTCTTGTTAGTTGCTATCTTTGTATAAAGGTAACTGAATGTGTCTTCGCATCAATATCTACTATAGTTAGGCATTGAAACTGTTCCCTGTAGTCAGTTATTAAGGATGGCATGGATATGGACGTGTATTGAAACTTGAAAAACATTGGGCCAATTTTTTTCAAGTTTTAGTTAGTGCTCAGTGCCCGCAAAAATCACCAAAAATAATTATTGCCTAGTGCTCCCTGATGGAACTTGTTTGATATCTTCTTTAACGGATCATTTTGTGTATGGGTGATGGGACTATTTCAGTGATGAGTTTAGCACACGCCTAAAACAGCGACATCCTCGTGACATAGCTGACCCATAGCCCCTATAACAAAATCGTTGCGTTTTCCATTATACTGACACCCATTGTCTCTTATAATGAACAAGAGAGTGAACTATGCTTAATCAGGTGAATGAGGTGGATCAGTTCTACTGACAACCAGTCTCGTTACTTTGGTTTCACACTCACTTGATTGACAGGTCACGCCCTTGAATCCAGGAGGACATGAACATTGATTTTGATGTGTTATCCTTTGTCCGCTGTTTTGACAGATAAACTTGAAATTCGCCACCTAAATTTAAAACGTTTGAACTTCAGCTTTGATGGATGAAGATGATGAAGTTTTACACAGGCCAAGGGCGAAAGAAAAGATGTAAAACTGATCATACCATTGCATTCATTGACGAGTGATTAAAAATTAAAAGAGGGAAGCCTGATGACTTAAACTAGAAACACTAACATTCACATTTCTTGTTATGTCTCCTTCGAATGACAAAACTAAATTAGATATCAGGTATATGTAGAAATGATCAGGAAAAAAATCCGAGCCCTCAGGAGAAATCGGATCCACCACTTTCCAGTTAAGGTTGGAAGCTTCAACTCCTGAGCAATAGGTGACTCATGTGATGAGCAGGTCGCTAGCTTGGGGTATTCTAGATCTCTCTTACCCATGTCATAAGACCGAAGTTTTTCTTTTCCTTTTACTGATGATCATCGTGAACACTCTGAAATCCTGCACGGAAACCAGTAGAGAAACATCATTTCCGCAATAAACTATTTCCGACTCCGATCCGACTCGTTTAAACTTGTATATTTCATATCAAACTCTCCATTTCTTTAGCCATATGTCTGATGAGTCTTTTTATCTCAGTTCAATCAATCAATCAGTCAATCAGTCAGTCAATCAACCAACCAACGAGTCAACCAATCATTTAATAAAACCAACAACACAACAAGCCTTTATTTCAAGTATGATGTTCACATAGTGCATACCTGACTAAGCTCAAAGTAATTCGACCTCTTGTCTGCCTTGTAGTTTTCCGGTTTAGACTTCCTTGTCTCTGCATTCAAATGACACACTTGTAATCTTGAATTTTCGGGAATAAAACAGTTGTATGACTGACAGCTCTCATATCGCAAACATCGTAATCCGCACTCAATACAGGAACCTGCATAGTAATAACTGATTGTGGGGCTCAAAAGAGAGTAACCTGGAAATTAATGACGACAACCAGTTAGGCAGACCAAAGGTAGCCCAAGCTCGAAAATATAAGCATCGGCGAACATCGGCATTGTTGCGTGACATTCGAAATAGAAGGATTTGTATCGGAAAAAACCTATGGTTTCCGTAACCTACGACAATGAAAGGATTTCAATTAAAAAAAACAGCTTACCTTACATAAAATGTGTGTTACGTCTCTCCTGTGTGGTCCATGGGCCGATTTATGGCCGTTTTATGTGTTTTATGTAAACGGTTTTCTCTCAATATAAAAAGAGAGAAAACCGTTTACAGTACAACCCACAAAATGGCCATAAATCGGCCCATGGACCACACAGGAGAGACGTAACACACATTTTATTTAAGGTAAGCTGTTTTTCACTGAAATCGTTTTATTTTCGTAGGTTACGGAAACGACAGGTTTTTTTCCATACAAATCCTTATATTTCGAATGTTACGCAACAATGCCGATGTTCGTCGATGCTTCAGTATTTCAAGCTTTGGCTACCTGTGGGCAGACATATTTTTAAAGAATGTTAAAAAGCCGTTTGTGATTCACATCGTAAAAACTTTCGTTTTTGAATCCATGATAACAATCTAATATAGATCTGAAATCATTCAGTAGAAGTGATGTTTTTCAATAAATTCTAAAGGACTTTAAAAAAGCTCATTGAAGATAATACTTTGGATGATGATATACAATATTACTAATGCAAGACATACATGGATGTTCGGCTTTGCACAAGCATTCTTAAATCGATAATAGTTCTAGTCAGATGTCATCAAGACATCAAAGTACAGTTCATTATACTGCATGTGAGTTTTCTGCAATTTGATTGGCAGAGAGCAGCTGTTTTTCAGTTTCCAGCGGTTTAAAAAAAATTACATATTTTGTCGACTGTCATTTTTTTGTCATTTTTGTGGACTGTTCATTATACTTCATGAGAGTTTTCTGCAATTTGATTGGCAGAGAGCAGCTGTTTTTCAGCTTTCAGTGGTTCCAAAAATGATGACATAAATTATATTTTTGTCGTGATATCACTGAGATATATAGTATCACTCATGATATTTCAATAGTCACAAATTTCACTCGCCATTTGCCATTGTATCTTGACATATTATTGATAGCATTAGGTAACCCATGAAATACTACTATGAATCAAGCTATTGTACTACTGATTAAAAACTGAATGGGTTATTGTAAAAAGAAGGAAATTGCCTTAACAACTCTTAAATCGCCATTGATTGAAATTTTAATGCTGATTAGTAGGGGATCTTCTTTGAAAAGTTCAGTAGAGTTTGCTAAGATCCCCTGCATCTGATTGTAAACTTGATAGGATTTCGTTACAAATGTACGTTGGGCGAAATAAAGCTAAATAAATTAATAAAGGTTGCAAATAATGTTAATACTTTCTATCATAGAATCCTTGTAAGTTTATCTTATTTGCATTCATCGATATGTTTCAAAAGGTTTCAGTGCTTAAATGTAATTTGTAATCAACACCATCTTTTAAACCAAAAAAAATTAAAGTTGTTTTAAAAAGCCAGTGGTTGGAAAATCTTCTCTTCAATTTTTCTGCGTTTTTGTCAGAGCGGATGGACCTTATTCAACGAACATTTTATAACTTGTTGTGGCTATAACCCGTTAACGCTACTGGCCCCATTTGTTCGAAAGGTGGATAGTGCTTTCCACTGGACAGCGCAATTGGTTTCCATGATACGTATCCTCTGAATAGCGATTTATCTGGTGGAAAGCCGCGCTATCAAGATTTTGAACAACCGGGGCCTAATGTCTACGCTAGCCGGATAGTTCAGTTTTCATGACGACAGGAACAGCTATCTTGTACAGAATATCCGTTAAACACCTGTTCATACTGCGCCAACTGGGAGTAGCAAAGAAACTTATCATGTCGATATGTGACGCCGATTCACTTTCAAGATTCTGCGCGGTGCAGCTTCGCTGCTATACAGAAAACGCACCAAAATTATCGTTCTCGTGTGTTAATAGGAGCCCGGCTATCAGATATGGGTCTCGAGACGGTGCAAGAGCGATGCGGTCTAGAGTAGACAAAGTCACTTAATAATAAACAAAACAGATTTGAAACATGGCGGGTCATGCAAAATATCAATCAGAGAATTCATTTATTGCTCTTATGACAAGCAAAACTAAAAAGCCAGTGAAATAAAAAAAATGGTTTGGTGACCTGTTAAACTTCAGTGTTGATGTTATCTACCAAACCGCCAGAACCTTCGAACCATTGACTTCCAAAACATACTTAAAAATACTCAGCAAACACTGGATCTTTTGTTGTAACAAGTTTGACGAAACTTAAATTTTAATTCGTTCTGAAAACTCACCTTTATGAATCTCGACAAAGCTTGAAATGGATTCTAGGTTTGTAGCTGAGGAAATACTCGTCTTGTGAAATATAACATCGCGGTTAAATGAGAACAAGACCAACCAACATATGCACACTGCTTTTGACATCATCAGCATGATCATTGATAAAACAAGATCTTTTTGCACAAACGGAGGAAATGATAGTTTAAAAAAAAATTGATTTTCCATGTACACAATTTTAATTAAAAAAGGGTAAGGTTGGAAATGAATGCGCAGCAAAGAGCCTATTTTAGTGATTGTTTATGTAACAATAACCTAAAATCAAGCCTGATAACAAAAAATATTTATAACGAAGAGTTAAAAAAGAGCTATTAAACACGCACCTGGTAGTATCTTCGCGTTGAGCTAAAATGATACTAACAATCAAGTGGGTTTTCTGCAAACCGAAAATAGAAGCAATATCCAATCACCCCACCGCACTTAAATTAAATTTCTAGTTGCTTATGATCAGCAATCTATAGATTAGCTTTCTAGTTGTGTATATATCGGCAAAGGTTGAAGGAATTAAAGACAGTGAAAATAAATTTCTGATTGATCGACAAAACCTATTCTAATGATAACAATTAAGATCACTAAATTATTAAACAACTAAGAACAAGTATCTCCCTTTATTACACATTGAATTGAACCCTTCTCCATTGTTGTCTCCAATTAAGTTTGATATACTTCTCTGGGAAAAAACAGTCGGAATTATTAGTTTCTTTTTTAGCTAGTGATGGGAAAAGCCTCTAGGGCTGATTATCAACAGAACATAAGGCTGTTAAGAAACTTCTTTCTTTTTCTTCTAATTTATTTCCGTTATTTTATTTTCAAATAAACAGGAGTTAATGTCATGCCATTATTTTTTCCAAGAGTATAATCTCGAAACTCTATAACAATTATGAACCACCAGGGGCATTTTTCATTTTAAGGTTTTCATTCCCAGACATTTTCAGCCACATCTCACAGTGCGCGCGGGTTTCTTCTAATCAAAGTAGGCAAGTTTTCACAGCGTGCATGACAATTTCTCGCGTTAACATAAGGTGCTTTTTCAATTCAGTTACCCGGCAATCCAATCAAAGGACATGCAGACTCTGGAAAATCTGGAAACAAGGATAGATGCACACCTTTCGTAAACTTGAACTCACGCCGCGGCTTTCACGTTAATATTAAAGCAATATTTTAGCGTGAAATCTTACCTTTCCATGGCAATATTTCTATTTTTTCTTGACAGACATCTTTTCTAGTTTGCATGTGATTGTTTAAAGAACCTGTTTTCCTCATCTGCCTCTTGTTTGAATTTTTTGCATAAGTTTATTGCAGAACTGAATTGTAATCAATCACCCGGGACGACTGCAGTTATAATAGTCACAAAGAATTCGTGTTAGCTGTTGACGTTTTTGAACGAAAGCCATTGTAAGTGAATGCTCAGTTATTGTCTCTATTTTTTACGTCCGTCGTACATTTGATGGCTCTTAAAGTTTCATTATTCATTGATGTCTAAGCCAAGCAACCTGGGGGGGTACTCCCGCGAATTTTGGATAGGGGTGCGCCGCGAAGGTTCGTGAACCCTAACCCTATTTAAGGACTAAGTAAGCGAAAACTGATACCCTTTTTAAGGTTCAAAGCCGAAAAATAACATCCTTTTCAAGGAAAGAACAAAATTATTCATAGCATGGAAAGGAAAACTCTATTTCTTCCCTGTAACATTGGATGTATAGCATCAAGCATAAAATACTAGAATACTTAAACGGATACATCAAGTTTAAAAGAAACCGTTCGTTTAGGCGGGCATTTTCACACTGGAGTATTAGATAATACAATTAAGCTACCCTATCTAAGGACCACACCAAGGACACAGAAACAAAAGGATCAAAAAAGATACCCTATTTAAGGACTGAGAACCTCAAAAGCCATACCCTATTCCGCGGCACGTACCTATATAGCCCATATATGGGAGTACCCCCCCCCCCCGGGCCAAGCAACTACTTTGTTCAACGAACTGACCCATTTCCTTAACCCTTTGGCGACCGCCAGCATGGGCTGATTCTGCAAATTTGCACTGGAACGGCAAAAAATCATAGTTTTGCAGCATTAAGGGAGGGCGATTTTTTCCCGACTACGTAATCAGATGTTTTTTAAAAGCAGTTTTTTCCTTTTTTTCACCCACATTTTTTATGCGAACATGATCTATTTCGGTCTTTCTTCAGTTTCTTTCTCGCACTCTTTTTTCCCTTTGCCTTTCTTTTTTTTATATTCAGTTTGATGCTAACAGGCTTCAAGCTCATTCTCTCTTGGTCGCTGATATTTATAGTTTTAACCACAGTTGCTTTATAAAAGCAGTTACTGGTCGCAACTTTGCCTAAAGGTGGAGTCAAGGCCCAGTTCATATCCTGTAATTCCATTGAGCCAAATCGAGCTCGAATTTAGGACTACTCGTATTAATTTAAACCGGCTGAATTGATTCAGACTCTGATCTTCACCGCAGTCTTTCTAAATTTCTGAGACGCACATTTCGGTAAACTACATAATAAAAATTTATGCATTTGGTTTACCTCATCTTGAATTCGGCGTCTGAATTAACGCCCGTCCATGGCCCCCGTAAGTTGTTGTCTTCAG